TTACTTTCATGTTGCGGAGGATGCGGAGTATGCGAAAGTGCGTTTTCGCTAGCCTGGCTAGCGGAGGAATGAATCCACCGTAATAAATTTATAATATTTTAATTATTCCGGATGGAGGACTTGGTAGAGGAATCTACGGGGAAAAAGGGGTCTGCGCAAAGTTCTTGCAGAGCTGATATAGGGATGCGCAAGTGCGACGATTTTTCGTCCTGCCGCAGTATTTATTTATTATATGATTTTTTTCAGATCGATTAAATCGATATATCATTAAATAAAAATATTAATTAGTTATAATATCAGCATCAAATTATTAATGATATATATATAAGAAATTAATTTATTAAGAATTTGAAATATGAGAAATCATCAAATCGATCGACTAAGAAATCATTACGCATCTCATTCTCGTCAATAGAAAAATATTTAGAAAAATTGTTAAATTGCGCAATCTTATATGCAATTATATTTCTCGTACGAAATCATATCTATATGAGGGGCATTGAATATCATGATACGAGCACTACACAAGATTTGGGATTCATGCCTGCAATTGATATAATTGATAATTGTATCAATCTTCTATTTCATTTAGACGCCGATTCTGTCGTCCCAAGCCTTTTAACCTTTGAATCTATTCCCATCATCGTCGGTGGACGTCTTGCGGACATACTCGCCGCACTCAGAGACTTCGACAACTGTAGATGCTTCCTCCGTTCCATGGCTGCAGAGAGGGGGTTGAAAGTTGAAAAGGTTAAGGGTTCAGGGTTCCAGGGTTCTTGTTCCGGATTTTAACCCCAAATCCTGGGCACTAAATGGCACTGAATTCATGTCGGGTCAGGATCTAGGCTTGTTGAGGGCTGCATCGGCTTGCAGGATTGCAATTTAAAGCTATACAGGGCTTAGTTAGGGTTTAGGATTTACATGGGTAGTTCCCAAAACTAAGATCCCATTTTGCTACCCCGAAATATTCGGTGCCGTACTATAATCTATAACCAACAAGGGCCTGGTGCCCATAATTTTGTCAACAACCCACGAGAGTGCCGTTTAGGGGGTCCCCATGATAACGATTATAATGACAATACATTGGCGTCCCCCCTTCATGGAAACGACCAGAACTAGGCTGCACAGTTTTTGAGTTTGTCTTGAGCCAACCGGTCTTTGGATCGCAGCGTTCCTAGGAACAAACCCAGCCTTCATGACTTCCTAGCTAAACCGTAAACCCTGACCCTACACAAGACCCAAACTCCGAACCCTATCAGAACCCCTACAGAACAACACGTAACTGAAACTGATCCGGACATTCCTCAATTGCTTTAAGCATCCTGATTCTAGGCCCATGCAGTGCAGTCGGGTGTCTATGGCCCGCTGTACCATGTCGAAGTCATCCGTAAGCTCTCGAACTCTGTTGAACTTTGCAACCAATCCTTGAGATCTTCATGGCAACATGTGAGCTATAGTCTAAACTCCTAGTATCCCCCTTAGTATCCCCTGTAGTAGTCCCCTATATAATCCCCTATATAACCCCCTCTTAAGCAGTTTAGACTATAGCTCATGTACTGTCCCACCTAAGGAGCCCGCCACTTCCAAAGGATATCTTCCTATGAGGCCTAAGACCTACGAGTCTCCAACAGGCAGTGGTTTTGCCGGGGGAAATTAGCTGTAGTTCCTCAGACCTACGATCATTAACTTCACAAGCCCCGCAAACTTACAGCGCCCACGCATGCTAAAGTCGAGAAATTCCAGTCCCTAAATCCTGAGCCCTACACCCTAAGACACTCAAACAATAAACCCTAAGACCCCTCAAGCATTAAAACTCTGTGAAACCTGCCGCGGGCCGGCTTGTGTAGGGTCCTTTCAGCTCCCTGTTAGCACAGGAGTAGCTAGCCCAAGAAGAACGTGTTGGGTAACACAAACTATCCAGATGACGGTTGTTGGCCCTACTTCAGACTACTTATAACAGCAACCCAGTATACATCCCCTATATATATGTCTCTTCTGTACCCCGTAACCCCTTGTAATGTTTGAGACGGTCCTGAATATTGAGCTCCTAAACCCTAAACCCCAAAACCATAAACCCCCAAACCCTAAACCCTAGACCCTAAACCCCCAAACCCTAAACTCTTAATATTGAATGCGGTCCGGTACTTACCTAACCAGCCTGTTGTCCCGGCAATTGTTTGACACCGGGGCCGTAAAAAGGTCACATGAGCCATATAGGCTAAACTCCTTCAAGGGGATCGATAAGGGACTTTGTAGGGTTTAGGGTCTAAACTCGTTAAAAGGGTGATCTATACATATATAATATATGGGACTACTATAGACTATAGGGGTTATTCAGGGGGATTCTAAGAGTTCAGGCAATGGCTCACATGAACATACAAAATAATTGACATGCCCCTAAGCGATAAACCCTACACCAAGTATGCACTTGATGCCTTCAAGGTGAAGTTGGAAGTCCTTAGGATGCTAACGCGCTCGCGCAGTTGCGGAGTTTTCATCGAATTGTCAGTCTTTCCCTTTGCGCCTGAAGCCCGCATCATACTAAACATGTGGGGAAGAAGCTCTGTTGGCATGGGCTCAAGAAGAAGGATATGTCCAGAATAAGCCATAGAAACATCTGGAATACGGAAAGGGCCCAACTCTCAAGCTGCAAACCCCTGTGCCGAAGTGTCTGAGGGATGTCCAGCCGTCATCGTCTGCTTGTGATCGCAGGAAGTTATCTTTGGCATAGTTCACGTCCTTACTGTCACTATTTGGGGCTTGGTTCAAATGACTGTTCCCCAAATGGAGAACGTATAGTTTCGGGAACAACGCATTCCAAGCTGTCTATGGGGAGCAACAAGTGGTAGTTTCCCTAAATTACTGTT